TTTGTTTTTAAACATGTCCTTATTAGTCATTTGATGTTAAACAACAACCGCTAAATATTGTATAACCAAATAGTTATATTTATTGAATCTGCTATTTACCATCCACTACCCACTTTCTGCTATCCATCATCGGCTATTCACTAACCGCCACTCACTACCCGCTACAGCTATCCGCTATCCACTACCCGCAACTTGTTATCTGCTGAATTTTAACCGCTGTACCAAACATGACCTAAATGTATTACAGTTTATTTGTAAATTTACTACGAGTGCGTGGGAGAAAGTCTTTTAGCCTATGTTTGGATAAAAATTAGTAAAGGAAAGGAAGGGGAGGGAAGGGGAAGGAAGGGGAGGAGAAGTGAAGGGAAGGAAAATATTGAAATTAGTTTTATTTGGATAGATAAAAATGATGGAGAGGAAAGGATAATATTTTTATTTAATTAAATAATTTAATAAAAATAAAATGAAAAAGAATAAAATTTTTAAATTTTATTTATTAAATAAATAATTAAAATAAAATATTTACATATATTTATTTTTTTTAAAAATAAAAGTAAAAATAAGTTAAATAATGTATTTCGTTCCAATCCTTCCAAATTGGAAGGATCGAAAACAGAGGAGGAGAGGGGGCTCCCTCTCCCTCTATCTCCCTCTCCCTCCATTAAAATGATTTATCTAAACACAAAAAGTTGTTCTCTCTCCCTCACTCTCCTCTCCTTCCCCTCTAGCTTCCTCAATCCAAGCAAGGGGTTAAACAATGGTATAATTTTGGGTGATATGAAATTCCGTTGGGTAGTGTGAAATTACTGGCTATAATTTGGGCATTTTAGACCCTTAAAAATGGATTTAATCAAACTTCATTTTTTTTTTATAAGAAAAATGGTAATAGATCTTATAGGAGTCAAAGAGATAAAGTGATTATATGATAACTTTACTTCATTCACTTAGATACATCTAGCAGTTTATAATTTTCATATATTACAATAAATATATCTCCTAAACTACAAATTAGAATAAATAGCTAAATAAATATATGTGAGTATTTAACTATCCCTTTACCTCTTAGGTATTAGTTATATTGCTATAACAAATATTGACACCATAATAGTTTGTAGCCAACTAATAAACCTTTAGCTTGAAGTGATCACACCCAAAGTTGTTAATAGCATATCGGTATACGTATCGATTTTGCTACTAAAACGGTACATATCAGATATCAAATTTTTT